CAGCGCGGCTCCCTAGCAGCCGGGATGAGACCCGAAACACGCACCTCAGGAAAACAAGATGTCAGGCACTGGGCCTGCCAGGGAAAGAAAAGAGCCCCACGAAGTGCGAGACGGTACCGTTACTGCCCGTCTGCGCTGTGGGGCTCCCCCGCCCCCTCGGTCTTTAATTACCGTTTTTACAAGGCAGAGGAACTCCTAAGACACTTGATGGCCACTGAAGTTTTAATGCGGCCACGTACACGGGAGAACAGTGGAGCTACTCTGCGCGGTAGGAGGAAGCCGGAGGTCTGCGATGAACAAAGCTGCAGCAAGCACACGGGCTGGGTTTCCACCACATTTCACCTCAGCTCTGTGCAACACTACAGCCCCAACCCCGCCCTCCTGCGGCCAGCATTCCCCCCGCGAGAGGCCCTGCCAGTTAAGGAGAGCATTTCACAGAACCATGGAATGGTTTGGGTTGGAAAGGACCTTAAAGATCATCCAGTTCCAACCCCCTGCCATGGGCAGGGACACCTTCCACTAGACCAGGTTGCTCCAAGCCTCATCCAGCCTGGCCTTGGACACTTCCAGGGATGGGGCATCCACAGCTTCTCTGGGCAACCTGTTCCAGTGCCTCACCACCCTCTCCAGGAAGGGTTTTTCCCCAATATCTAATCTAAATAATTTCCTAAATAACAGTTTCAAGACTGCCCTGCAGTTCAGACCCATGGGCCGCCATTTACCCAACCCCAATGTGTCCACAGCCTCAGTCACTTTTATCAATGTCCATCAAACAGGGGCAGCACTACGGCCCTTCCCCTCTGCAGCAGGAGCTGCCACTCTGGCATGGCTGATGAAAGTTTCACTATTTATAGTGAGTTATTTCAAACAAAAGGCATTTTTCTGTTAGGATGCTGCACATGGACTACCACATGGCACAGCCACCATTACACAGTTTTTATGTTCATAAAGAGCAAGACTCAAAAAAGGTTTCTCTTTAGCCTGTATTTACCTATTCAATGGTTACAATAGACACCAAAGAGAGTTCATTTTAAAACAGTAAACTTTTAAAATGCATTAACACAGGTTTTAGCTTTTTAAGGAAAACACATTCAATTTAAAAACCAAAAAAAAGGAGGGAGAGGTCTTAGAAAAGCACAAACTATGCAGACAGGCATATTTACAGAGACAAACCTAGCATGTTCAAGGTGATTCTGTATACAGACAACATTCACTAAACCAAACGTGCTCCAGGGCTCCATGACAACAGCAGTTTTTAGAACAATCAGCTGTTAAGGTAACACACCTTAACCCATTTCCTACAGTCTCAGTGCAATGAGTTGAAGTTTACACTACAGCTAAATAACTGAACTATGAATTTATATAATTCCAGACCCCTATTCAACAGATAAACTGCTATGTGCAGCCGAAACAAAAAAAGGCAAACAGATTCAGTGAGACAAAGGGATCACCTTCTGCAGTGATTTTGGCTATGCATCCGCAGCTATGATCATTCTTATTCAGCTAATTGCCCTCCTTCCACAAGAATCAGTAGTAACAAGCCTCCAGCAAGTATAAAGCTTTCAGAACTGCCTTTCATACTCGCTGTAGCTACAACTTAATGATCAGTGAAACTTAGAGAGTTACAGAAATGCTATCACGCACCACAATTCTGCTGTTCCTTGAGTTGGGGCATGTATTTATGGGGTCTCCGAGTTTGGTGAAGACGCTTAAGCTCTGTACATTGAAGTGCAGGATCTTTCATGTAATATCAGCTGCAGAACCCTAGTCAGCACAGCAAGAGAGACACACCCACTGCAGCTACTAGAGTGACATTTTAACTTCACCAGGGAGCTAATAAAAAAAACAAGCCAGTGAGCAACACAATTTCTATTGTCTTAAATATACATTATTTCTCAAAACTGTTCCCAAGGACACCTTTTACAAGAGTGAACAGCAGTTAATTCTTCATTCATTTTTCTTTTCCTTGTGTTTCAGAAGTTTGTTTATCTCCCTTTTCCCCATTCCAATATACTTGGTAATGATCCCATGCTGATTTAGTCCAGGGAACAGCAACAAGAAACTTACTAGAGAGGAGATAAAAAGAAAAAAACGTAATTACTTAATATTCCTTTAACAAGCTTCTGTCCCTTTGCAATTCTTTGCATTCCATTAACTCCCTGGAAACAGAAAAATATAACCTTGAGACCAAAACCACCCAAAACCAACAACAAATCACCATACTCATAATCAAAAATTACTTCTACCAGCCTTACAGCATTTCAGGCAGCCAACAAAAAATTAACTTGTTTTGTATGCAGCACACTTACCAATAAGATAGGTGAGAAAGAGGTTGTGAACTTGCTGTCCAACCCAGGCAACCACAGCAAGAGAAAAAAGCATGGTCATGAAGTACTGAAAAATGAAAAGGGAAGTCATCTCTGATCTGTTGGAAAGTCTCCCCTTTCCCTTCAGACTCCAGCAAGACTGCAACATTTAAAGCTAACCTGAAGTCTGCTGGCCCTCCCACATGCAATACTTGTTAAAACGGCGATTACAGAGCCCACAATTCTATGTTCTCACTTATTTTCAGACCATCAGTTTTACAGGATGCCAGTCCTTTTCTGTCCCCATATCCCTTAGCATCAGACTACGCCATCCCCGCTGACATGGCATTGGCCTCACGCAGTACCTGAAGCTGTTTTCGGGACAGTAAGCTCAGCAGGTCACGTACCAAAGCTGACACATTACCAGGATCTAGATTTTTGGACAACACATGTACACCGGAAACAAGCCACATTTCCAAAACCTGACCTATCCAAAGAAACCCAGTTTATCTTAATGTCAAGGGTATGCCCCTAACTCTCAGTATCACAAGTTCAAAGTGATGTATCCTGCCACTCCAGGTTTGAATAAGGTGTGTGCTGGGCATCAACTCAGAGCCAGAACTGCTGGTTCTTGGCTTGAAACACCAGTTCAGAGGCTCGTGCCATGGTAAAACACTCAAAATAAATAAAATCTTAAGACAACAGAGATGAACTCTTAGATCTCCATACCATTTTAGGCTTCTCCTCCTTCAGCGTGAAGAGACGTTTCCACCAGCCAACAATCCGGCGACGAGATTTTACCAAATTGCTGCAAATCTCATGAAATCTTTGCTGCTGTTCCGTAGTCCTTTTTTTTTTTTTAAAAAAAAGCCAGAAATACAAATTCAAGATTTCATCTGAAACTTGAAAAATCTCCCACTGTATTTTTCCAGCAGTAAAAACTTAACCAGTACTTATCCTGGCATTTGTTTCACATCATTTTATACCTTATCTTTATTGAGCACTGTAAAAAAAAAACCACCATCCTTTTTTTCTAGAAGAGAAGGAGCAATAAAGGTATGTTGTAGTAATCTTTCAGAAAAAGAATGAAGGACATAATACTAATGTCCTCACTTATCTATATATTCTCAATCTCTACATATTACAGAGGTGGAGAATTTCTTACCACAACTCTATAAAGCAATCATTTGATATGTGCAAGCCAGGCATCCATTCTGATAAAGTACTTAAGTTATTTACACTCAAGGAACTGTTTTAATTCATGCTTTCCTCACCATTTATTAGAGCCAAAAATTCTAGGGGCAAGTGCAGGAACAAGATAATCAGCCAAACAGAGGAACATAACAAAACAGGAGACGCCTGAGAGAACTGATGGGTCCAAGTAGTAGATCATCCTGCAGAAAGAAGAAAACAAATGATTTCTGGATGCTCAGACTGCTAAATACTAGACATATTTAGTTAACTCTTCAGATTGGCTATTGTTGGACTGCTAACAGTAGACCTACCCTCTTGCTCAACCTCAAAAAAAAACCCAAACTTGCTGCTATTACTAAGAAAAATGGGTTTAAGTACTTCAACACTACTACAAAGAAGGACAAATTAAAAATACAATTTTCGTAATGTAGCATTTTCTTATCTAGTACAATACAGCAAGCATGGTAGGAAGTTCGGCAGAAGTAAAAATCCATCATCACTGCTCCCTCAGAAGTTAACATCTAGCAAAGCTACCATTGACCAGGGATGACGATGAGTGAGTGAACACATGAAGTGACCAGGAAGCTCTAATCTTGCTGGTTCTGAAGTCACAGAATTCAGATCCACTACGGGCTGTCATTTGCTCTCACCCAGGAGAGCTAATCAAACCTGTTCTGCAGGAGGAGCCATAAACCTCCAATCAGGACAGTGTTGTGCTTTTACATGTTAAGCGTGCCACCACTCAAACAAAGCAGCAGAGGTACTGGACAAGAACCCGCTCATCTCCCAAGTGTCTGTTAGTGCTCAGCTGTGCCCCATGTTGCTTATTTGCACTTAATAGAACCTCCCAAACATCGAAGTAATGTAACTAAAGAAATGACAGTCCATTGCAGGGCCAGTTTAACTCTACATCTGTTACAGCACGACTGTGCTGAATGTTCGAGCTCATCTTCAGTGAAGCAGCAATGCAGAATCTGAAGCAGTTCTATTTCCTCAAAGCATTATTCAACACAAGATTTTTCCTGCCATAATCACAATTTATAACACAGCAACCTGAAGGTCATGCAATTTCTTTTTTAAAAAGTTACTTTTCAGTTTCATTTGATTTCCAACCTCCTCACCTGCATGGAAGACTAAAATTTGTGTTAGCCCAAAAATCAGCCATCCCTGCCTCACCTGGTTCAACATATATATTTTTGTAATTCCCCTCTCCTCCTTACTCCACAAAACCATGCACCTGGCAAACTCCACAGCTGGCATAGACACTTCTCTGAACAAGGCAGGTTGGGGTCATCTTGACCACTACCATGTTACAGAAAAGCAGGCACAAATGCCTCCAGCAAACCAGTTCTGTATCTCCAATCCAGAGACTGGCAACATCCTCCCATCTTGTGGCTGAAAGTTACCTGGAGTCTTTCCTTTTCCTTTCTCAAAGGACAGAGAACATAAGTGCACAACCAACTGAAGTCATCCTAAACACCACACCCAAGATGCAGATTAGGAAAGTGTGCCCCATGGAAACAAGTTTTCCATAATGATATTGCTGTTGGTTTGGGGAAAAAAGCCAAAGGAGATAACAAGATTTGACCAAGAAACAGGATACAAAGGATGAGGGCAGTATGAACTCACCAAAGAAAAACACAGCTGAGCATGATAAAAAGGTAGTGAAACCATTGCTGGCAAACAGCTTTTGCAGAAAAGAACTGTCTCTAAGCAGGACATGACTTGTATTGCTTCCTGTTCTCAGCACTGAAGGTTTTTCTTTTCAAAGTTCACACGCATTCAGAAACAGAACCTGGAGTAAGGGCCTTCCTATGAGATTTTTTAGTTGTCTTACTAATTTTCTTAATAGGTTTGCTACCAGCCATCAAAGCGCAGTGGCATTCCAGGCTCCCTCCACAAGCTACTTACAAAAAAGAGAAGGAAACAACGCTCATCAGTGCCAGAGGAAACCAGGCTCTCTCCCAGCGAAGAACTTTATCTGTTATCAAAATCACTTCACCCCATCCTTGCAACTGCTCCTCCAAGCTGGCGGTTTCCGCAGCCTGCACAAAAAGAGAAGAAAACTCTTCAATACTAACCAGAGTAGCAAAGAAATTCCCACACTCAAAGTGGCTAAAAAAAACCCCAAGTGGCATAATTAAAGACCACAGTCACAAACTTTGCCGAGCAATTATTTTTGTACTAAGCTATGACATTGTAGCAGTGACACTTTAAAATAGTCAGGATCCCAACAGAGTAGCAGCAGATGTTATTAGAGCAAATGGTACCTCCTCCTAAAGTGCTTTCCCCCAGTCTCACATTTATGGCACACCCTCAGCCCCCCAGACACTAGAAAATCAAGTATTAAGCTGAAACCTCTAAAGTTCTCAGTGTCAACATCGGGAAAACTGCAACATGAGAACTATTTAAAATACACGTATTTTTCAAAGACAACTTTACCATATTAAACTGAAGCTTTCTAGTTGCCATCCAGCACCGATTGTGTATTATGTGGAAGACAAATAAAAACCCAGAATCCACAGTACAGGACAATTAACCCACCAATCACATTTAGGCTGCAAAGAAAGTTTTTCCACAGGTTGTCCAAGACAGCAAACAGGCAGCCTCTGAATTCCTCTTCCCATATCATTCCTACATTCCTCCTGCAAGGAGGCCCCGTCTGCTCTATCAGCCAGCTGAGCAGCCCACCCGAGGCGTTCCATACTTAACAGAGCTTATCAGTTTCCCCTCAGTGAGACAAGGGATCTCGGAGGCTGCGAAACTCGGGTAACTACGAGCAGGACGGATCACTGCCCAAGCAGGGAGAGGTGAAGAGCCACCAATGCCTGCGCCCGTGCTGTGCAGAGAGCGCAGAACAGGTTTCATTCCCAGCTGCGTGCTCAGATGAGAAGCCTGACACCACTACAGTAACAAGGACCGCTGAGCACAACTTCACAGTAACGCAGTTTCCGGCAGTACTGCACAAGAGAACTATCTGAAAACTACAGTTCAGAGAGAAAAAAAGAAGTAGAAAGCAATTGGACATGCTGCTGAACACCCTCCAATTACTGCTGCTATTTTAGGTTATAAACACAAGTTGTCACATGGAGAAAAAAAATGGGCTGCGTTCCTCCAGAAGACATTTTATGACAAACTGTTCTGCTTTATTACCTCTGTCTGTCTGCTTTATCATCACAACCAACACGAATTTTAATGGAAACAGACTGGACTATAACAGCAATCTTCGCAGCAGCCTGGAACACAACCACCCCGAGCTGTGTGCTGCGCCAGGCACAGCAACCCTAAGTCAGGTTGTGCCAACAGTCCCAGAGCCCAGCAAAAGTGGGTTTTCATTAACCAGATAACGCGAAGTTTCCAGAAACACGAACTTCTGCTCCGAGCAGGGCATTCCTCCCGAGCGTTCTTGGCCCTGCAGCTCCGCGCAGTTTTCCTGCGGCGATTCAACCGCCCTTCCCGCTCCGCTCCGCCTCCCAGGCTGCGGGAGAGGGCACAGCCCAGCAGCGAAGGTAAACAATAGAGATCTGCGTATTCGGGTTTTTAAGCATTATCTCCGCCGTGCCGAGCGCCCAGCTCCGGCAGGTGATGACAGCGCTAAGCGCCGGCCCTGCCCGGCATCACCGCGCTCCGGCCTGCGAGCAGCACGGCCACC